ATGGTTTTCCTTTTTAAAAAAACTACAGGCTGCCCATTTCCAAGGGATGGTTCTTGAACCTGCCCTAGCTCTTATTTTAGTGAGACCAAATTGAGTTTAGCTAGTGTAAAAATTACACACAATGAGCCCGGGGACTCCTACTCATGAGACCACCAGTGCAACATATCCTGCTTTACTGGGCAATGGAGCAACATCATTTTTGAGTCAGTCAGGGCTCAGGTTTTGAAGATCCTTTCTGCTACTCCTCAAGTGGGAGAATTGTTTGAGGGAAATTGACCCTCCCCCATGGGCTTAAAGGGGAGATATCATTGTTTAGGCTTTTGTGCCAGGGCAAAAATCAATCAGACTCTAAGGAGCCTGCGCAGGGAAGATGGCTGCCCGAGCTTTTCGCTCGGCTGGAAAGAGACTTGGAATCGCTCTGAATTGAGCCCCAGCCGAATTTTGATCTCTATCAGAGCGGGATTCTGGAAGAGAACTTGAGACGAGCCTGGAGAGGTGACGATTTTGAGAAACACGGCTCGGAGACGGACTTCGGCGTGCTTGGCAGTTGCGAGCGGCCTCCGGCTTTGTGGGCGGCACCCCCCCTCCCCTTATGCGGATGGTTGCTCCCAGCGGGAAACAAGCTGGGGACAACGCTGGCTAAGTTTGGGACGACACCTTGTGTATCATCGGAGAGAGTGCTTGGGGGGGTTCTTGAAGAGTGCTGCAGCTGTGCTACGGAGTGCTACAGCTACTTCGGGCCATTGCTATCGCTGCCGCGACCGCCACCGTTTTGAACTGCCTTTTAAATTGCCACGCGGAACTGCCATTTTAAAATGCCACGCTGAACTGCCGCGCCTGCAGGAAACGAGCTAGGGACAACTGGCTGAGCTCTGGCCAACGCTTTGCTAATACCGCAGGGAGTGCTTGAGGGGTTTTTTGGAGAGTGCTGCGGCTGTTCTGGACTACCGCTGCCGCTGCCACTGCCGCCTTGATCTGTCCCACTGCGTTGGACAATCTTGCGGTTGAATTGATCCCACGGCCTGAGTGATCGGCATCGAGCGGCCTGCGGGGATTGAATTGAGCGTCCCACCCACGGGAGAACGATCCACGAAAGAATGCCGAGACTGACAGAACTACCTGGCTGCTGGAGCCTGGAAGTGCTGGCTGAGGGGACTCGATCCACTGGGACCGCCACTGGTCACTGCGGGGGCAGCTACTGGAGGCCCGTCTTGGGGGGGGGATCCCTTCGACTGCCTGACTCCTTCAACCGCTGGTGTGCTGCTGCAGGGTCAGGCTAGGGACAGAGTTAGGGCTAGGGCTAGGATTAGTTAGGGGTAGGGCTAGTTTAGAATCAGGGTTAGGGTTAGGAGTAGGGCTAGGGTTAGATTCGACTAGGGCTAGGGCCAGTGTTAGGGTCAGGGTAAGGGTTAAGCTTAGGGCTAAGGTTAGGGTTGGCTAGGTTTAGGGCTAGGGTTAGGGGTGGGGGTGGGCTTGCTAGCCTGATGGCCTACCGGTTTGCTATCGCCACTTGAGTGTCGCGGCTCAGTTGAGAGTGGGGTTTTCCCCCTCCCCCCTCCTCCATCGTAGTTGCAGTCTTTTATCATCATTGTGGGGGCAGCCCTTTGGCTTCTCCTGTTCCCGGGGGAAGCCGTGCTTTGATCCCGGCTAGTCGTTGGCCATGACCGGCTCTATGACTCTCGCTCTTATATCTACCGCCTACGGCCTGCTAGCCTTCCAGCTACTCCTCCCCTTGTCTTTGTCCTCCGGATCATCATTGGGGAGTAAACCGAGACTTATGACACTGTCACTGGCCCTTTTGGGTCCCCTGTTTATGCCCCTGCCGATTATCCTGCATCTCCATCACGTCAGAGAGGGCAATGGACAAAGAGGACGTGGTTGGGGAGCGTGCTTCACCCTCCAGCTGTTATTAATATACTGTTTTCTCAGATTTTTGGACCTTGTGCCCCTGTGGGTGAGGATCGGGACATTAACTTCCTCTCCGATATCAGGACAATTCTGAGCAAATTCCATTTGGTACTACTGCAGAGTTTTTAAATTTTTAAATCTGTATGGTGAGTGTTGTGGTATGATTGTGGTTGATTGAATGTACCCACTTTTATTAACTATATTGTTATTTTGTTTTAAATCGTTTGTGGGGATTGTCTGATAGTATGGTTGTGTACGTTTGAGAAGGCTGGGACCACAGCCGGGTACCTCCTGCACTGAGTGCTCTGCAGAAGTGTTAGGGGGGCCTAGGCCTAATCCCATCCTTAGGACGTCTGATTCGAAGGGCCTGCCGGGGAACGCGGTGGCTATGGGGGTGGGTGAAGGTACCATGGACACGGGAGTGGGCCGGAACATTACGGTCATAACGGGGAGGGGCAGATATGGCGGAGACTTTAGAGCTAGCCATTACCGGGGAAGGAGGGTTCACTACGTCACAGAGATCCCTCCTTCCGGCCCTGTTAGGTCCACTCCAAGGCCAGATGCGTGAGTAGTCAGGGCCCTGGTCTCAGGCTG